CCTTGCAAGTCAAATATCACCTTGTCATTCTGGCAGAGAAGGCTCTCACAATCAGCTCAATATACCTTTTCATCTCATTCCCACTGCTTCCTTATCCCCCAAGCCTCAGCCAAAGGTGAACACTTGTATTCCCAGGAATGCTGTATGCTTTCCGGCTTCTAAGCCTTTGCTCAAGCTGAGCCATTGTCCTCTGGGAATGGTCTCCCTTTCCCTATTCCTTTTCTACTTTCACCCTTTTCTTGGCCTTCTATACCTATTGAAATTTAACCCATCTTTTAAAATTTATTCAAGTATCATTTTTTTTGGTGGTGGCGGTGGGCAAATTGGAAGTAATCTATCTTTGAAACTTTACTTGGTACTGCCCAACCTATATTTCTTTTTGTTGCAATTTGATGGGCTTTCCCAAGTTGGAAGCTGGATTCCTGGTGGTCCAGGAGCACTGATGTGAGAGAGAGATTCCCTTTTCAAATTTCCGTCAATTACTTTTGAATGACCCACCCGAGGTGCTGGTGTGTCTTTACCATTTTATTCACATTTACTAGACGTCTTTTGTAACAAAGAGAATAGCTCCGGGAACAGGCCTTTAGCAAGCAACAGTAATTTGCTAGAATTTAATGACATTGTTTCATTTCCATTATATTTTTAATTCTTTTCTAGTTTTATTGAGATAGAAAAATGTAATAATTGACTTACTGTATTTGTTTGTTTGTTTGTTTGTTTATCTCCCTCCCCTGCACCACACACACACACCTACAGCACCCGGTCTTTCTAGGTGGTCTCCCATCCAAGTACTAACCAAGCCTGACCCTACTCAGCTTCCGAGATCAGACAAGATCGGGCATGTTCAGGGTGGCATGGCTGTAGACTGTATTTATTTTTAAGGTTACTTTTTTATCTATAGCAAGTGATACTAGTTTCCATTTGTAGTAATGACGTGAAGTTTTCTTTTAAGAGAAACACTTTTAAGTTAAAAAATGAGTCAATTTAAAGAGAAAAGTAAATAATAGTATAGTGTGCTAGTAAACTGTCTCTCCAAGAAAAAAAAGTCCTGATTTGTAGTGTGTGCTGAGTTCCGTGGTGTAAGTTCTCCCACCATGGCTATTTCTAATAACCAAGGTGACTCTACTGAATGTAGAGTTGGGAAAAGATCTGCAAATGAACTCTATGAGCCTGTGTAAGTGACTCAACCTCACCACTGGGTGGGGCTCAGATATAGCACATATCTGGAAGGAGGTGGCAATGGCTGAAGCTCATGAAACACTTTATTAAAGTCACTTTTTGTTTGAGTCTTATTTTCCATAGCAAAATGCAAGGGTCTTGAGGGTACTGACTATTTCTTGCTTGTCTTTGCAAACCCTGCAGTATTTGGATAGGGGCTCATGATGGGTACCTCTCACTAGGCTGAAATTTCTTCTGGAAGAGGGACTGAGTGAACTGCTCTTCTGCTGAAGATGACAGTGATTTGGAGTAATTTCGAGGTTCTGGCCATTGGTAAATCAGTTTTAGCAAAACCCTAGGTGTAGGACTCAGGATGATGGATATGGTTTGACTCACACATGTCAATGAGACTTCATGTTTTGTTTCTACCTAAATATACTTTTCCTTCAAGGGGTGTATGATAAGAACAAATATGAGAAGAAGAGAATGGAAAAGGAAAGATTTAAGACATTGTATTAGTTTTCTAGGGCTTCTATAACCAAATACCACAAACTGGGTGGCTTATCAACAGAAATTTACTGTCTCATAGTTCTAGAGGCTGGAAGTTCAAAATCAAGGTATCAATAGGGTTAGTTCCTTCCGAGGTCTGAGAGAGAGGGGATCTGTTCCAAGCTTCAATCCTTGGCTTGTAGATGACCCTCTTCTCCCTGTGTCTCTTTATGTTATCTTCCCTTTATGCATTTTTGTGTCCAAATTTTCCCTCTATATAAGTACACCAGTCGTGATATTGAGTCTAGTAATTTTTAGATGGGAAGTGGTCCCCATCAGGGCTGTCATTCATCAGAGTTGAGCTACTGGAACGGTTCATAGGATAGTGTCCCTTCCGCAAGTGCCCTGAGAATTTATCCTCAGCAAGGGGTCAACCCTCCTGGAAACAGCAGATAACAATTTTGTCATTGCACAAGAGGTTTCCTAACTGATAGGCAGTTTATAAGTTTTCAGCCATCAACAGGGGCTGCATTCAAGCCCTGGCAAACATCTGAGCCGCTCTCTGTTTGTAGATGAAGGGTATATGGCTTTCAGCTCAGATGACCAGGCTTGGACCAAGGTCCTACGGGGCCCAGGCCTCCAAAACTGCTCTGGATCTCTCTGGAGGAGACTGCTTGGGGCCAGCTGAACTTTACTGAGAAGACTTTTGCACAGCCCTATCTTTCTGAGCCCCTCCTTTGTTATTCGGAAACTGAAGGTGGCAATGGATATTTTGTGAGTGAGAGATAAAATTTTGCCAGTTGGTTGTAGTCAATGAGACCTGTAAACATTTGCTGAGCACCCATTATGTGCTAGGTATTGCAGCAATATTTATTGGGCACTGCAGTAGATTGCAAAATGAGCTGCAGTTCTCTACCCATCCTTGGATCCATGTCCCTTGGATCCATGTCCCTTGCAGTGTGACTTTGCTGTTCCTGCCATCAGAAGATAGAGTCTATTTCCCCACCCTTGGCCCTGGGTTGGACTTGTGACATGGTTTGGTCAATACAACTATGGAAGTAACGTAGTGCCAGTTTCGGGCCTAGACCTCGAGAGACCTTGCCTGATTTCACTCTTGCTCTTAGAACCCTGCAGCTCCATGTGAGTCAGCTAGGCTAGACTTCTGGTGGCCCAGTCACCTCAGTCAATGGCTAGTTACCACCTCCCCCACTCCCCAAAGCAGAGGCCTCTGGCTGCCTAGCCACTGACCCCAGATACATGAAATAGTCCAGCTGAGACCAGAAGAACTGCCCAACTGGACCCAACCTAAAATGCTGATCCATAAAATCATGAACTAAATAATTGTTGTTTTAAGCCACTTGTAAGTTTTGGGGTGTTTTATTATGCAGAAATAAAAGTGCTGACTTATATAGGCACTTACCATGTGTCAGGTTCTGGTCTATTTGAAATCAGGAAGTTTGGGGAGAAAAGACTTGTGCAGAGATGGCATAATAATAGGCATGATGAAGTAAGTGTCCTGGAGAAGCAAACACACTAAGAATAGAAGAGGTGGCATTTGAACTGGGGAGGAGTCTTGTCCGTGTGCAGTTGGAGGATCCAGGAGGAAATTCCTGGGAGAGTAAGATAAGGTGTGAATTTGGGATACCCCAAGCTGGGGTCATCAGTCAGTGATATTTACTGGGCCCTTACTATGTGCATGGAAGCACTGTCCTGGCTATCTCAGGTTGTGTATGGCCCAGCAGGGGAGAAAGAAGACATTCACTTGTGGAAATCAGCCAGGAATGTGAGGCTGGTTTTAAGTGAAACAGAAGTAGCAGGGGCTGCTTTGTCCAGAGTAATAAAGATCTTGGCTTGGGTATGACAAGACCTGATCCATTCGTTATTTATATCTGGTACCTGGCATACCTGTGGCAGGGATACAGTGATGAGGCTGGAGAAAGGAGTCAAAAAACATGGCTTTTCTGGCATCTTCATGAGTGGTAGCCTCTCGAGGGCATGGTCTGTGTCTAATTCATTTTGGTATACTCCGAGACCTGGCCTTGCCTATAATAGGCATTCAGTTTTGAAAGTCTTTCCTTGGAGATGTTTCTAATTCCCTTTCTTTGAGTCCCACTCTACCATTGTATTAGTTTTCCAGGGTTATCGTAACAGCTGAGTGGCTTAAAACAAGAGAAATGTATTCCTTCACAGTTCTAGATGTCAGAAATCAAGGTGTCAGCAGAGTTGGTTCCTTTTTGGATGCTTTGAGGTGGAATCCTTCCCTTGCCTCTTCCTAGCATGTGGTCCTTGCCCACAATCCTTGGGGGTCCTTGGCTTGTAGATGCATCACTCCAATCTCTGCCTCCATTGTTACATGGTGTGTCTCAGTGTGTCTATGTCTCTTCTCTTCTCAGTCACACCCTACGCCATATGACCTTATTATATCTGCAATGATCCTATTTCCAAATAAGTTCATTCTGAGGTACTGTGGAGTTCAACACACATTTTTTGAGGAGACACAATTCAACCCATAACATCCATCAAGACCTGGGGAAATGTGTATTCCTTGTCTGACTGCCCCAGTCACCAGAGGCAGAATTAAATATTCTTTCTGCAGGACTCCCACATATTTAATAAACGTTTTTGTTTTTGAGAGCATTTGACTCCGTCGGTCCTGGTTGAGTCAGGGGCCTCATCCATAGTGCCTGAAGAGGGTATATGGTGAGCCCTTCATAAATGAAAGCCTGTGAAACAGCTACCCTTGTATTAATCCTCATAATGACCCTGTGAAACAGGTAGTTATATGTTTCAATCCCTATTTTATAGAGAACATCGGGGTTTAGAGAGGTGAAGTAAGAGTGTAGCCAGAATTGTTGTCTCTAAAACCTGAAAGGGCGCCTGAAGGCATCACACGAAAAGTTTCCTATTTCCCATCTTCATGTTTCCCAAAGTACCCAGATCTGGCTAATTCAACTCCATTCCCTTGAGAAAAAAATCCGGAACTTCAGTCATTCGTTCCCGTCTACCCCCCGCCCTCTCAAGCGTTTTCCCTCTACAAGCCGCACACAAAGCAGATCCATCCTGCCCACGAGAGCGCGCGGGCCACCTTTCTGCGCGCGCCGCTCCCGGGCGCGGCTTGAGGACCCGCGCGCTGCTTGGTGGCGCGCGGCCGGGGCCCTCCAACCTGCTCCCGCCCAGGCTCCTGTCCTGGCGCGGCGATTGGCCC